GATTGTAACTGCAATGGAGAAGCCTATCTCCCATGCCCGGTGTCTGCCTGTGGTAGAACGCTGTGCCCAGGGTCTGCCTATGGTAGAGCGCTGTGCCCAGTGTTTGCCTGTGGTAGAGCGCTATGCCCGGTGCATGCCTGTGATAGAGCGCTGTGCACGCAAGCGGTATGTGCCTGTGGTAGAGCGCTGTGCCCAGTGCTTGCCTGTGGTAGAGTGCTGTGCACGCATGCAGTGTGTGCCTGTAGTAGAGTGCTGTTCCCGGTGCGTGCCTGTGGTAGAGCGCTGTGTCCAAGGTCTCCCTGTGGTAGAACGCTGTGCCCGGGGTCTCCCTGTGGTAGAGCGCTGTGCCCGGGGTCTGCCTGTGGTAGAGCGCTGTGCCTGGTGCGTGCCTATGGTAGAGCGCTGTGCACACACGCGGTGTGTGCCTGTGGTAGAGTGCTGTGCACGCATGCAGTGTCTGCCTGTGGTAGAGCATTCCTTGTCTGTCTTGAGTTCTGGTCTTTGTTTCTATTTCTGGTCTTCAAATATCTTCTCTCTTATGGTCATATCACTTTACCTAGGAGTTGATGGACACAGTATGGTCTCTTTACTGGCTTTCTGAAATGCTGTTTTGGGAAAGTTGAAGATTTATATAAAAGCAGTAGTGGATAAGATGTTTGTTAGACCTGGTGAATAGCTTATTCTCAAATGAAGCAGGAAAGCAAGCTAGAAAAAGAATCTACTGGGATATTATATGAAATGACTTATTGGTAAAATGTTAGAAAGACATTGGGTTCCCATATAAAATTATCTCTGTTACAGATTTTCCCACTAAGGTCCTAGGTTTAATGTAATCATTGGCACATAGTGGGGACTAAGCAAAGATAAGTAAGATTCAGTCCCAAAGACCTCAGAAGCAAAACAGAAGTTAGTCTTCCAACCCCGTGTGACCCAGAAAACAGAATGTACTATGCTAGTTTGGGTTTTAGACTGTGGAAGCTGTCTGAAGAATGAAGTCTGCAGTGATGGCTCTGGCTTCAGGGGGAGACTAGACGACTATCCATCTGCGTTGAGTACTTTCCTGTTTCCTGAGTTTTAACTTGACCTTTGGTAGATCAGGCCTCTTTTGTTTTCTCTAGCCACGTAGGGACTTTAGCTGGGCAGAGATGAGCTCCCACATCTTACAGGTAAGGAAGCCAGGCCACAAAGACATAGGATGACTTGTGCAAGGTTATGTGGCTGGTGTTAACTATCAGACCATCCTGTTCATCAAAGCAAAGCTGAGTGTGTCATGACCCCGACCTGGAACTTTTGCCGACTCATCTGTCACCCTGCCAGGTGTACTACTGCTTCCTGACTTGCAGTACGGCTGTGTTTCAGTACACCCATCACTAAGCTAAATGTTTTAAGACAAAAGTGTCTGTAGTTCTCCTAGAGCAAGAGAATGTGTGTGCAGTATGCAGCATTCACTTCTATGACCAGATGATTGGCCAGGAGCTACAGCTCATGGCTGCTCCCCAGCATCAGGCAGACTTTTGGATCACTTGTCAGTAGTAGTGTGGAGAAGATGAAATTCCAAAGTCTCAGTGTAGTTTTCACGGAATGCATATCGGTTCACACCTCAGTAGAGTCAGCAAATCGAAAGTTAAACCATTTTAAGTTGGTAACCACCTTGTCTTGAATCTGTTTTATGAATAATTACACATACTGAAATGAAATTTATGCCTTGGCAATGCTGAAGCATGCGTGGGCAGCCCATATATGACAGTTCTGTTGACCTTGTCCATATTGGGTTTCACCATCTATGTTGCTGAGGACGACTGACCAGGTCTCTTAAGAGGGCACCAGATCTCATTACAGATGGTTGTGAGCCACCATATGGTTGCTGGGAATTGAACTTAGGACCTCTGGAAGATCAGGCCTGCTCTTAATTGCTGAGCCATCTCTCCAGCCCAATTATGCATAGTAGTTATAAGTAATTGTTCATGCTGCTGTTCAAAGGGTGGAATGATGAAACTCACTGAAGAAGGATCCAGATCCTGATCCTGTAGACAGATGACTATGGTAGATGAGTGGATAGAAAGATCAGTAGATGGCTGGAAGGATGGGTAGGGATGGGAATGGAGGGGGGATGGATGGGTGAGTTGGTGCATGGATAGAAGGATGGGTGGATGGGTTGGTGGGTGGATAAAAAAAAATCAATAGATGGAGAGATGATAGATGAGGTGATTGGAGGGAAGGAGGGATTGTGGATGGGTGCTTGGGTAGCCGCTAGCCAGAATGTTGTGCATATTAAGTAGGCATGAGATGGGCTGTCATACATAAGAGCTTTTTGAGAGAAATTTTAAATGTTGGCGTTTCTTAGATGAGGCTGTATTAACTTATTAACCCTGTTTTCCTAAGACTTATAGTAGTTATGGTAGAAATAAATAACAGGCCTTTATTTCCCATGATTGCAGTAATGCCAGTAAACCAGAATTTGCCTGAACCCGGTCATGTTTGAATCTTGCATTAATGTGAAAGGCATGGATGGCGTGGCGCTATGGTTAGGATCACGGATTATGGCCTTGCATGCGCTCTACCTTAGCTCTTGTGCCTCTGGGTGTAATAATCTTACACTCTACACTTTTTTGTCTGAAATGAGGACCACACTTGATTGTATAACACTGTTGTGCGAATTCAGTGCCTAGTCCCTGGTCCAGTGATGCTATTTAAAATGGTGGCTTTATGATGACCATTTTAGTCTTCACAGAGAACAGCTGTGAATTCCTGCTCGCGGGATGGCACTGGGGTTTCTAGACATTAATTTGTTGGCTTTTTAAAAATTGAATTGAAGTGACTTGTGTGTTTGGATTTACCGTGTGTCAGGAATGACCTGTGGTCTTTTGTGTCAGCAGCTTTCTGGTTACTTCAGTTATCAGACGTGCAAGAGTTTGTCCAAAGACCTGTGGTCTCATTATACTGTCTGTAGCACTTTCGTGGTTTGAGTAAATATCACCTTTAAGAGTAAAAGAGACATAAAAAGTTTAATTATTCATGATGGTCATCTAGTCAGTAAATCTCAATTTTTTTTTTTTTATTTCAGCAAAGGTTGCTCATAAAATTCCTATAACATCAGTTAGTAGTCAGCACCACCATTCCTGTTAGTGTGTCCTGCCTCTTCTGTTTTTCTTTCTGTTGCTACTAAGAGTGTCCTGGCTAGGCTGGCTTGACCTTGTCTCCGATTCTTCACTCTCTGTGCTGCAGCTTTGGGGCAGGTCCTCCCACCGTCTTTACACCCTGACCCCAGCTCTCACAGCGTGCCATTGTGCCCCGCACAGGCCCTAACTTGCCTCTTGACAGTGTTTTCCTTCTCTTTAAAAAAAAGTCTTGTATGTTATTTATTATATGTATGTGCGTGTGTGTGCTGTGGATGCCTGTGTGCACGTTCATAGAGGCCTCAGGAGGGTGTTGTGTACCCTGCTCTATCCCTCTCCCCTTGTTCCTTGTTGCTAATGCTGGAGCTAAGCGAATAGCCAGCAAGTTCCATGATCCTCCTGTCTCCCTTCCACCCCAGTGCCTGACTTTTTATTTAGGTACTAGGATCTGAACTCAGATCCTTATGATTGTATAACAAGTGCTCTGACCCATTGAGCCGCTCTGTCTAGCCCTCTTACGCAGCCCTTCCTTCACCTAGTTAGAACTTTCTCCTTTTCTCCTTTGTTCCTCTTCCATGTCTTTGTGAATGCCAGCAGCTTTGCTTCTGTTCTTGTAGTTTTGCTTCCTCACCTGCTTGTAGTTACCTGGTTTCTGACCAGTGTCTTTTTAGCAATATCCTAATATCCCAGTTCAGGTCAGGGTTGTACAGTCCAGTGCCTGCATCCTCATCTATGCATGTCTCGTATTGTCCTAGGTACGTGATTTAAAATGTCTGATTATCATTCAGAGATGTGGGGACTGAGGACCAGAACAATGAGTGGATTTGTCTTCACCGCTTTGCAGTGCTTTATTAATTGCGGACATTCAGTGAATTCAGGTTATGTGAGCAAGATGAGAGAGACGGCAAATGGTAGTTTTCTAGGGAAAGAAAGCTTAGTTCTGCCTTCCGGTTTCAAAAATCATTCCCTGTTTCCCTCTTTCATGCTTCTTTTTGCTTTTATTTTCTGTTCTTTCTCCTGTTTGCCCATGTTTAGATTCTGTTGCACACATTTTAAAAATTTACTTTGTGTCTTTGTGGGAGGGGGCATATGTGTGCAGGTGCCTGTGGAGACCAGAGGAACACATTAGATCCCTTGGAGCTGGAGTTACAGGCATTGTGAGCTATTTGATGTGGATTCTGGGAACCAAACTTGGGTCCTGTGCAGGAACAATGTGCAGCGCTAAACAGTTACCCTCTGTCCAGCTCCATTGCTTGCCTTCTTCGTGTGGACTGAGGGGCGTGCAGCTGGGGCCCAGTGCTGCCCCGTGGAAACCCTTTGCTCTACATTTCCCAGCAGTTTTGTCCTGCCCTGGCCTCTGAAGCGACCTGCTAGACAGCCTTGTCAGTCAGGTCCAATCATGCTGTCTCTGAAGTTGAAGTTATGAGATGAGGGTAAAGACGCTGGAAATGCAGCTTCTCCACATGATCTATTTATTTAAAGCTTAGACATTTATGAAAATGCAGTAGACCTACAAACTAGGATGTAAGGGAATCAGCTGCATTCACTGTGACCCCCTTGAGAGAGGAAGGATGATAGTAAAACTAGTAAAACCAAGTGTGCTAATGTATGCACTGATAACTAGGCAGTGATGCACACCTTTAGACCCAGTGCTCAGGAGGCAGAGGCAGGCAGATCTCTGTGAGTTCAAGGTCAGCCTGATCTACAGGGTGAGTTCCAGGACAGCCAGGGCTACACAGTGAAACCCTGTCTTGGGAAAGAAAAAAAAAAGATATGCAGTGATAAAGTAGCTTTTGAACCAAAGGGAGCCAAAAAAAAAAAAAAATCTGCCAAGATGCCAGTAGGACTTCAACGTGCCTGGGATGTCCTTAACAGTCGTCACATGTGTCTATAGCCGTGGTGGATCTGCTCCAGGAGCTCACAGACATAGACACCCTCCACGAGAGTGAAGAAGGGGCAGAAGTCCTCATCGATGCTCTGGTAAGTGGCTCGTCCTCTGGGGTACTCGGGGATGGGAAGGTGCTGGCCTTAGCCTTGCCACTGTGCACAGTAGCATCCATAGAAGTCTATGTTGAGGCTGGATGGAACAGGTGAGAACAGAAATGCAGCCGGTGGGGTACTTTCCTCTGTGGGACTGAGGGAAGAGCCTGGAGAAGCCCAGCATCTATTAACTGGTGCTTTAGGCAGGACTTTCCTCGTTCCCTTAGCCCTGCTTCCCCCTCACCCCATCCTCTCGGAAGCTGAGGCGCAGAAGAGGTGAAGCAGCATCTCTGTGGTCAAAGCTGGACTCTTAGCCTCTGGTCCGTCTCTGCTCCCATGTCTTGCCCTCTGTCACTGGGTTGCTGCTAATCTTTTGACAGAGAGATCTCACAGATGTTTGCTTTCTGTCTTGAGCTTTATAATTGCAGCAAGGACAGATAGTGTTCCTTATTTTACACAAGATGGGTCATCAGGGAGACTGGGAGAATGTTAAAAGCACACAAGCAAACCTGAGATCTCTTGTAGGTAAGATCTGTATCTACGCCCATGTCTAGTTGAGTTTGTTTGTTGGTGATAGGGTAGCCCCTGACTAGCCTGGAACTTGATATGTAGACTAGGCTGACCTCAAACTTTCAGAGATCTGAACTCACAAATCCCTGTCTGTCTTTGCGTCCTCTGTGTTTGGATTAAAGACTTGGATCACCATGTGTGGCCAAGGCAAAGCCTTAGACTTCACTCATTGCCACAGCTATTATCCAGTCAGTGCCAAGGCAAGCCCTGTCCACCTGGTCCCAGCTTGACATATGAGGACGCCCAGAGACATGTGGATTCCTCCTGCCGTGCCCCTCAGCCAGGCCTGTGTCTCCTGACGGTCAGGGAGGGCTCCCGGCTGAATAGGGAGCACAGCTAGCCTGTGGCGGCAGTGGCTCTGGTCTGTGGCTCTGGTCTAGCCTCTTACCCTAATCCTGGTGGATCCATCCACTCACTCCTCGGGATTCTGGCCCTCCCCCCTTTTCTTTTATTCTCTCCTGCCTCTTCTCTCTCACGGGACTAGTGGCAAATGCTGCTTTCTGTGCAATGTAATTTCCTGGAAAGCACTGAAGCCACATGGTAGGTGTATACAGATGCCATTAAGCTGCCTTCTGGCCCCGCTGACAGGACTGTGGGATCAGGGTAGCTGGACTGAGAACCCTGGTGCCTAGGAGATCCCTGTGCAGCACAGCCTCCCCTTTCCCTTAAGGTTCTCAACACCACATCTTCCCCACAGCGAGCACACTGCTGAGGTGGTAAGTGGAGGGGTTGCGAACCCACTGGAGATGAAGGGCTGTCTCGGAGCTCGATGGAGTCCAGCGGAGCTCTGTGCAGCTAGTGTGGAAATTTCTATGGCTGTTTTCCTTTCAAGCACCTTCTTAGAGTGAGCTACCACTTTCATGGGCCTTGGGACCTTTATATTTCCTTGGAACCACAGTAAAGAAAGGGAAGGATTCTTCCGGGTGGCCTTCTGTTTTGAGGAACATCTATAGGAAGGCTGTGGCACTTCCCTCCCGCACTGTGTCCCCACAGTGTCATTTGTGCAGTCTTACCTTCCAGAGGTTAATTACGGTGGCCCCGTGTGCGCCTTCCTGCCTAGTCCCTGGGCTGGTTTTAATTACCATCCTTTGCCTGTGTGAATAGAGAAGATGAGAGAGGAACAGCTAGCCAGGCGGCTGCTGTGAACCTACACAGAAGCAGCGATTCGTACAAAAGCCCCCTTTGTGTCTCTGTGTAGCCAAGCCCACCAACAAAGGCTGCATCTCGCAGATTTTATTGTCTGTCTGGAAGGAAACCGTTCATCCTCAGGCTTGGGAGCCATTAGGTAGCTGCTGCGCAGGATTTCCTTTGTTTAGGGTTTTTTATGATTATATTATTTTAAGATTTTGACTCTCACAGCTTTATCCTGGTGGGGCCTCTCACACACTGAGGATTCTGGGGTCTAATATATTATTTGCTTGTGTGCTACCACTCAGACGCCATTGGTAAATATCAGTGAGCAGAGCTGGCGAGTGGGCTCCCGTTTACCTTGCCCTTGTGCCACATTGAGGAAGAAGTTTGATAAGTATTCTCATCTTACTAGGGTTGAGTTGTCTTCATAGTTTTAATTTGGGGCCAGTATTAGAAGCCTGGAATCACCGGAGCAGGGGCTAGAGGGAGTGTGGCAGGATTTATTGTGGTTTGCAGTTTGCAGTTATTGCCTTGGTCTTTTTCCCAGTTGGAAGTCCCCAGCAATAGAGTAGCACATTTGTGAACAAAGTGCTGGCCTGGCATTGTTGGGAATCTTTGGGGTTTTAAATTTTGGATCACATTCATTGCTGTTCTGTATACACAAAGGGAGTATTTGTGCTTTGGAACAAATCAATTTAGGAGCCTAGAAGATGGACTTCTCTGGAGATCATAGATGTGAGGTTTATTGCATTGGTGAGAACTCCCTGGCTCACCCCTCCGCAGACATGTGTTTCCTCAGTGCAGCAACCAGACAGCCAGGGCCTGCAGTGAGTGTCTCCCTGGGCTTTCTGGGACCTTTCACTTCATCCCGTCAAGCCTCCTCCAGCCTCAGCTCTTCTCCTCTCCTCAGCAGAGTCTGTGTCCCTGGGAACTTTCCCCATGGGATTATAGCATCTGTGGACCAGTTTCCTTTCCAAGTGGTAACCACACTGGTCAAGGCTGCAGCTCGGCCACTCACTGTGTGCCCTGGGCAAATGGCCTAACCTTTCACACTGCGTTTTGTCTGCAAAGTAGAGGTAACAGTTGTGTCTGTCACAGTGTAGACGTAAAGAGTCTGCATCATTTAAAGATCTTTAGAGCATCCACTACTTGCTGGCCATGTTGCAGGACTGGTGAAGATCTGGCACTTGTAAATGCCAGGGGATGGTGACGAGCATCGTCTGCCACGCGGTGACACCTTTGTGGATGTTTGTTGAACTTAAACATTTTTCAGTTCAAAAAATGTTGCAGAAAGCATTTTGAGTAATTTTTTTTTAAAATATTTTTTATTTATTTATTATGTATACAGTATTCTGTCTGTGTGTATGCCTGCAGGCCAGAATAGGGCACCAGACTCACCACACCCCATTACAGATGGTTGTGAGCCACCATGTGGTTGCCGGGAATTGAACTCAGGACCTTTGGAAGAGCAAGCAGTGCTCTTAACCTCTGAGCCATCTCTCCAGCCCCCTTGAGTAATTGTTTTTAAGTATTTGGGTGATGCAGGTCTAAATAAGACATCCAAACATGGAGGTTTCATTTAAAAGAAAAGCAAACCAGTAATGACAGTGGAGAGCAGGATGTCTAGAAGGCAGGGTCTGTTCTCCATCCACTTGGTCCACACTGCATGCTGACTTGCTCTTGATGCTAGAAACTGGATAGTTGTAGCTCTGAGTGAGACTGATGGGATCCCTGGTTTTGAGGGTGAGACAAAAATAGGGCGACAGTGCATCATGGTCACTGAGGGAACTAAAATGGAATGGGGTAATGTTGAGTACCTGCAGGTCAGATTATATCTGGTGCTCCTGAGTTCTGGGTACAGGAAGAAGCCAGACATTCAAAATGACCAAGAACAGGGTAGGACAGGGAGGAGACTAAGGCAAGAATGAGGTCGGAACAGGGAGAGAATGAGAGGGCCCACCTGATAGGGTGCACCCAGGTGTGGGTAGCAGGTCTGAGTCCTTGAGTCCTGAGATCGCATGGACAGATGGTAGACAGGGAATTGGCAGTGTCTGCCTAGATGTTTAGAAGAGCCGCACAGGCAGCTGTGGGTAGGGAGGGGGAGGGCAGGAGTGGAGGCCCAAGGCTCAAGAGGTGACAATAGGCCTACTTTTAGCATTATAACATTCAAAACTTATTTGATCAAGATCCCACATGTTTGGGGGTTATTTTTTTTTTTTAAGCATGACATTTCTGAAACTCTTAGTGGGCGGAAGAACTCCAATCTGTCTCTTGAGTGTTGTAGAGTGGGCCAGGTAGAGAAGGAATCCTCTTAGGCCCCTCTCATCTGTCTGGTTCCTTATTTCCTCCTCTTGTGTTATATCCTTCCTCTTTGGTCAAGTGGAAAAATATGTCAGATCATGCCCTCGAACTTTGTCAGAGCTAGACCTGCTGTTGGGGCACCTGCTAACAAGCAGAAATAACTGGACACTCATCAGGAAATGCCAGGCCTCAGACAGTCCTCATTTCCAAGCCAGGGTTGCTCTGGCTGCTACTTTAATTCCCAAGCAGGATTTGTTTTTAGTTTCAGATTTGGTCACAGGTCCAGAAAATTGAATGTAGGCCTGGGGCTGGAGGAAGTAGACAGAATGCTAATTTGCACTTCTTATTAGACGACTCCAGAGCCATGCATAATACAAATACTCTTCTAAGGAGTTTCTGAGCTAAATGTATTTTGACTGCTTTTGGCCCGCCTGCAATCAGATAAAATTGCATCTAACCCAGCTAAACATCGAGTTTCACACTTTGCAAGCTTAAAAAGTCTGCCTGTTAGAAGTTAGATTTCTGTAACAAGAAAAAAGACTTTCCTCCAGCCAGACACACACCATCCATATCCATTCGGCTCTAGGATCTAAGTGCGATGCTCACCGCCACCATCTCCCCCAGCTTCCAGACAGCAGAGATGGGAAGCATAACTAAGAGTCAAGGAAAGAGACAGATAATACAGATAAAGTGGCCATTGGCAGCAGGAGCCGGCTGCGATGCAGTCTGGAGGAGTGACAAGCCGCCTGCTGCCCAGCAGAGCTGTCATGTCCGCCACTTCAGGATTGGAGGAGATTATGCCAATCAGAGTGGGTTAGGAAAAAAAAAAACAAGTGTGACATGGTCTGTGCTCACCCCCCAGATGTTTCTGTTTCCTTCCCCTTGCACAAAATTTTTAGTTTATTAAAGGAAACACTTTATGTTCTTGTTGGCTATGAGACAAGAGCAAGATTGCAAGTCTCTTGACAGAACAGGGAAGGCATCTCTTTCTATGCTTGCAGCCCTCAGTCTGGCACCAGGTCTCCTCCAATGGGCTCCACTATGATTGGGTGTGCAGGTTTTCACCATGTCTACACATTGTCCCTGAGTCTCACACAGAAGGAACAAAGAGGCCTTACTTGGCATCTGTCCCTTTTGTCATTTCTACCATCCTAGGCTTTGTTGAACCAGGTCTGTAGAGAGCCAGCTTTCTTTTTAGGGGGTGGGGGCGTTTCGAGACAGCATTTCTCTGTGTAGCCCTGGCTGTCCTGGACCCCACTCAGTAGACCAGGCTGACCTCGCACTCACAGAGATCCACCCGCCTCTGCCTCCTGAGTGCTGGAATTAAAGGCATGCGCCACCACCGTCTTGCAAGTGCTAGCTTTCCACACAAAGGCTCAGAAAGTATTGGTGACATGTGTTCACTGCTTTTCTTTCTTTCTCTCTCCCTTTCTGTTCTCACCAAAGTAATAGAGTTGATCACTTCTGCTACCAAGCTTTGTGACTCTGGCCAGGCTGCCTAACCTCTCTGAACCTTTGTTGTGTCTCTGTGAGAGTTGTGAGCTGTATGCTAGGGTAGATGGAATACTGTCTGTAAGCCCATCATGGTGCACACAGTGCATCAATTTGTTTTGATGAGGTAAGGTTTCTCAGGCATCTGCTATGTGCACAGTTGTTCAAGACCTTGAAGTTTGCCAGGGTGCACGAGGTGAGGGGTTTGCTGTCAAAGAACTTGGCTTTTTCTTTGCCAGTGGGGTGACTAGTGGATGATTAGGCATGGATTGGGTATAGAGCTCAATGCAAATTTGCTCCTCATTTTGAGTCATTCCTTTAACCAAGAATAGCGCCCCACATTTTCCTGAGATTGCTACAGAATTCTTCTTTATCCTCATTTCCTACATAAGGCAAGCAAGGTATTGGGAAGGGGTATACTGTATATGGCAGGCATGACTTCCTGGATGTCTGATTACAACTGTCTTAGCTGAACAGTTGCTTTCCAAGAAGAGAGAAGTGGGTCAGTCCTTCCTTCATCCCTCCCTCCCTGCCCTGGCGTTACCCACTGGCAGTCACACAGGACCAGGTTGTGCAGGTGGTCATATAAGGAAGCCTGGCTCTGGCTGTCACTCCTGGCAGCTGTGCGCTATTGGTTGTATGATATAGCTACTCTGGATTTCCTTCCTGCTTCAAAAGGTGTGAATCAAGTAAGATACACAATAATTTATATGCTACATGTAGTCTGGACATAAGACACTTAGACATGTTATTGTTTTTTTTTTTAAGAGGGAACTAGAAATTCTTCAGAACTAATGATTTTTATAAAAGTTTAGCATGTAAAGTTAGAATGTTGGAGTTGAGCATGGAATTCTGAGGTCAGCCAGTTGTAAGTGGAACCCCTCCCACCCCACAGCTCCAGCGTCTAAAAGTATGCTTTTACACCCAAATGCCTCATGCACTGTTCGCGCCATGTGAGGCAGAGATTGGGGGAGGTGGAATGGGAGAATGAACATGAAAACCTTGTGTTTCACCAACTTTGTAACCTTTGAATTTTCCTTTGCCTCCTTCAACTCTGGTTTGGCCACCCTGTTAGGAATAACGGTTTTAGCACTTCCTTGCACAGAGTACCTCAGAGAGAGCGCTGCAGACTGCCGATTCTGCACTCAGTTTGTTCATTCCAATCGGAGCTGTGAACGGTGGAAACAGGAACGTGTGGGGACTGATTTGTGATGCAGCCTTCTCTTCCTTTGTTTCTTTGTTCTGCAGGTGGATGGGCAGGTGGTAGCACTCTTGGTGCAGAATCTGGAGCGCCTGGATGAGTCCGTGAGGGAGGAGGCTGATGGTGTCCACAACACCCTAGGTGAGAGGCAGGCATTTAAGCTAGGGCATGCTGTTTGCTTCCCTTTTCTATAAGCCAGTCAACAACCAAGTGTTTTTTGTTTTTCTCCCCTGTGCTCTAAAACTGCGTTTTCAGAAGTATGTGTGTGTTCATTTCATATAACTACAGCTTGGTTTGGCATATAGGCAATAAAAGCTGAAATCCACTAAGCAGGTACCCTTCCGAGAGAAAACATGCTGGCTCCTTAACTTTATTCCAAGATTTTACTGTGTTCTAATCACGTGTAGATGTATGTTGGGGAGCATTTGCATATCCTCATGGAGGCCAGAAAATCCTTCTTTGATCCCTTCTGCTGGAGTTATAAGTGGTTGTGAGCCGCCTGGTATGGGTGCTAGGAACCAAACCCAGATCTTCTGCAAGAGCAATATGAGTTCTTAATCACAGAACCATCTCTCCATCAAAGCCTTTACCTCCAAAAGTTAAGATGAAATCCTTGCGGGCCCTAGCCCTGCTCCAGGAAGCATAGGCTTTGATTTGTTGGTGATTTTGTATTGGCTTCTCCCACCTTCCTTCAGTGGAGCTGCAGTTCGGCAGGACTGTGGACATTGCAGGACAGGCATTAGGAGAGAGCTAATGTTTCCCTGTCTTCTTCAGCCACACTACTTTGTTAAATGAGTTGAAGTGCCGCCCCGTGTCCTGTTCACGTCAGTGGGTTCCTCTGCAGTCCCTTTCTTTCCCTTTTCCCTCAAATCTCTCCAGTTTCTCCTTTTGCAAAGTTGCCGAGCTGGTGGCCATTTAGAATTGTGCCTTTGAGCACGCTGCTTCCTCACTGGCCACCGTCGCGTAAAGCCAGCTGTGGCGTCTCTTCGAGCAGAGCTCCAGAAATGAAGGAGGCCGAGTGGAAGCAGGAATTTCGATGAGATTAGTTTCCCTCCTGGCTCCTCTGTGTTTACTGCAGATTTCCCTTGCAGTTCTAGACTCTTGAGTGTGGATTATTATAAAGAAGAGAGAAGATGGGCACCCAGGGAGTAAGCGAGGCGAACACAACAGCCTGTGGTTGGGGGCTGGCTGTAGTGTAGAGGCAGAGTTTGGCATTGCCATCTGTTAGCTTAATGCTGGATTTTGCAACATTGAAAGCTTATCAAAAGTCTTAGCTGGCTTAAAAGGCCCTGGTGTGATGGGCAAAGAATGGGTCTGGTTTCCACATAGGCATCCACCACAGTACTCATTCTCATCCCTGCCCCCTCCTCGGGTGCCCATTGTTTGTCAGGCATGGTCCTGGGAGCTAGGAAAGATCAGGATGAGTTAGACATGGCTAACGCAAGGCGGTCTGATGGGCAGGTCCATATCAGAGAGGAAAGAGTGCTGGTGACAAGAGCTGTAATTAGAGTCAGTGAAAAGCATCATGGGGGCTGGGAGGAAGGGCCTCAAATTGTTGCAAGGTAGCTGACTGGGGCTGACTAAGAAGTTAGGCACCTTTGCCAGTGGAGGAAGGGTGGAGCTGTCTTGGGTCAGGAGTATCTTTTGCTAAGTTGGAAAATGAGAGCAGGAAGTGGGGTTGTGGCCTTGGGACTGGAGGAGTAAGTAAGTCTGTCCAGAGTTTGGAAGACCCTGTGAACCATAGTAGGAAGTGTAACTTTGTTTCCTGTGGGCAACAGGAGGCCTTGGAGTATAAACAGAACAAGATAGAACGAATGAGTTGATTGAGACTGTTTCATCTCTTGGGTCTCTGTGCTCACTCAGTGAATGCCCCCTGTTCTTCACTTGCCCTTGAGGAGTCTGACTTAGTTGAAAGAGCAAGGGGATGAGAGTGGTTTCTTTAGCTCTTTCTCCTTCAGAATTCAGGCCCAGCATGTTCTGGGCCTTGTGCTTAGGGAACACAGAGCAGTAAGAGTGACCAGTTCATTCTAAGACAGGAAGCAAAGGGGCCCTGAGGGGAAGGAAAGCATTGGATGTGGTAAGGACAGCAGTAATTTTTAGATGCCCTTCTTCTTGATATCATATCATGTAATAGCTTTTCCCCCCTTGCCTCCTAATTTTTAATTTTCCCATTAAGTCACACTTTGACTATCGTAGAAGATAGCAGGACCAATTACTTGCTTCCAGGAACTTAGCAGCTACTCTGCCAGCATGGCCTTTCCCCTTTGCACACATTATTTTGTTCAATTAAGAAGATCATGCTCACCTCCCTGACAGTGTCCTGGTTTCCACATGATTCAGAGGGCAGGGGGGGGGGGGGGGAGAACTAGAATGGAGAAGTTAGAAAGGCAGAGACTGCCTTGCCCGGGGGGGGGGGGGGGGTCCTGCCGTGTCCGTGACTGGCTGCAGACCTCTGGGACTAAGTGGCCTTGCTAGGCCCCTCTCTACCCCTCCTCATGCTCTGCTCCAGATCTGCTCTATTAGCATAAAAACCTGCCCCTCATCCCTTCTGTGAATCCCATCATTTTCAGTTATGACTTTTACTTGTAACATAACTTGAAGAAAAAAAAAACATAGCAACTCCCTGGTTAATGTAAAAGTGACACAGCATCTGGCTGGGAGAAACGCAGGGAAGTGGGACGAAGAATAAAATGCCTGCTGCGGGAAGCAGGCCTGCCGCAGGTGGAAGCAGAGATGCCCTCCCCAGTGACTGGTGTCTCTCTTACAGCTATTGTGGAAAACATGGCAGAGTTCCGGCCGGAGATGTGCACAGAGGCTGCACAGCAGGGGCTCCTGCAGTGGCTGTTGAAGAGGCTGAAGGTAAGGAGGGGGTGTTACTGCCTGCCACTCACACGTCTGGGCTCTGGGTGTGACTGGGGCCAGGGTGGTGATGGAGCCTGGCAGCCCTTGGCCATATGGTCTAGTCTGGGAAGCTTCTGGTCCCCTTTTTGTTGCTTATCTTTCCCTTCCCCCCTTTTAAAAGATTTTTTTGAGTTCTGTTTCTTAAAACTATCTATTATATATATTCTTTCAGTAATTTTCTGTACAGTGACCTTAAAAGAATTATTTAATGTTTCCTTATGCAGATTGTTATTTCACTGAACTAATAATGACTAGTGTTCCACTGCACAAACCTACCAAAAGTTTTTTTTTTTTTTTTTTTTTTAAGATAGGGATTCATGGAGCCCAGGCTGGCCTGTAACTCAGCAGACTTTGAATTTCTAATCTTGCCTCTACTTTCCAAGTGCTGGGATTATAGGCCACCCTGCCCAATCTATGCAGTGGTGGGGATTGAGCCCAGGGCCTTGTGCATGCTCAGCAACATCCCAACAACTCAGCTGCATCCCATGCTTAGCTCTCAATTTTAATTTAAATACTTCCATCCCCAAGTTTTGCCTGTTGTAAGCAGTTTGCGGTGAGTATCACAGCCAAACACTATTCTGATGCACTTATCTTGGCTTATCTGCGTGATAAACCCCAGAAGTGAAGTGGTCAGGCCAAAGTTGTCACCTGTCAAGATTGTCCCACTGCTGTGATAAGGTTCCTTGCTGCTCTCTTACAACATCAGACATTATCAAACTTAAGGTTCTTTTTACACGTCTAAGTGAAAACTGATGCTATGATGTTTTAATTTCGATTTTAAAGTCAAAGAACGCGTATATTGGCTCTGGCTCTTTAGTAGCCATTCGCGGGCTGGGGTAGTAGTTCAGTGGGTAACGAGACTGGACACACCTTTAATGGGAGCACATGAGAGGTGCAGGCAAGGGATCAGAAGTTCAAAGTCATCTTCTACACAGCAAGTTGCAGGCCTATATGAACCTGCCTCAAAACAGTAATAATAGCTGTCCATGTACATTTTTTAGCTTCACATTTGTATCCTTTGTTCTCATGTCTGTTGGGTTCATTCTATTTCTTAGCATGGTGTCACCACCTTTTTTTTTTTTTTTTTTTTTAACAATTAGTGCTATCCCGTAGAATAAATGAGAAAAGGAGGGTAAAGCTATTAGCTTGAGGCAGCAGCTTATATGCTACTGTTGGTCCTCAGCTAGCAAGGTAAGAAGGAACACTTGAGGAGGAGTGATTGTTGAAGTGATCATGGCTTATCCAGAAAGTCTGGGTTGTGTCAGGTCAGGCTCCTTCTCCTTGTCTTGGCAGGGCTAAGGGGAAGGCTCTGCCCTGACAGTCTAGGTCTTCTCCAGCCTTACTCACAGAACCATTGGTTCCCATTAACCTGCAGTGTAGACCCACACACACCTATCAAAGGATACTAAGGCCAGCTGGTCCTATCAGTGGAGATAGGCACATTTGCCAGGAAGGGCCCAGTGCACTGAGCCCCCTGCAAGCCCTTTCTCCTCCCCCTTCAGCCTGTATCCAGCAGGCGGCTAATTCATGCACTGTCGTCTTTGCATTTCCCTTTGGACTTCTGAGTCCAGATGTTCTTTGGCTTCAAACTGCACTTAATCCTTGTACAGTTCCTTTCCCACCTGCTTCCTTAGTATTCAGTATGTGCTCCCCTCTTCTAAGCCTTTGAAACACTCGGGCAATGAGTGGTGGAGGAAAGAGAATCAAAACTGATGGGATGGGATGGGATGGATAACGGGACCCTGGGTTGCTGATGGAATTTATGGTCCCAAACTTAAAACACACAAAATAATCTAACAGTGTTTCTCTCTGTGAAGTCAGGACAAGTTTTTTCAGTTCCTTGGGACTTAATAATGAATTTAAGGATCATTCTTTAAAATTCCTCTGTCCTTTGAAGTGTGTTCAAACTTGCCATAATAACGTTCTCTCTCTTGTTCTCTCTCACTCTCTCTTTCTCTTTCTCTTTGTCTCTGTTCCTCTGTCTCTTTCTCTCTTGCTCATTCTTCCTTTTTCTGGAATTGGTTATATAGGAAGAGAAATTGAGACCTTTGGGTGTTTAGTCTGAACGCCATTTGCTGTTTTAGCAAGCTATTATTGAGTTTTGCCTTAGGGCATAGAAATTTGTATAATCCTCAGGACAGGAATAGCCTTGTTGCTATCTAAAACCATTTTCAAGGTTTCCGGTATTTAAACATTAAATTGCTATGTGGTTATTTCACTGGGAAGCAAGTCCCCTTAGAAAAGCCCTGTGCTGGGTGGAACATTTGGAATGCTCACAAAAGCAAGCCAAGCTGAAGGGTGAGGCCAGCAAGAAGCCATGAATTCTGAAGAGGCTTCATTCTGATTCCCCAGCCCAAGACATTGGTGCGTGTTGTGTTCTTCACCAGCGTCAGCCTTGGAGACAGCCCTAGCTGGCTATACCCGGAGCCTGCCTTCCCTTGGGAGCTTGTGGCTGCAGCCAGTGGTGCTTCACCTGCCTGGCCTGTTTTCTTTGGTGCTGTGAGGGGCCTGAAGACTGATGTGAGAGCGCCAGGGCCTTCAGCAGGTCACTAGTGCAGCTTTAAAAACCACATCCCCTGGACACAGCCCAGCTCTGCTGTCCTAGTTAGGTTACTGTTGCTGGGATGAAACACCATGACCAAAAGCAACTTGGGGAGGGAAGGGTTAATTTGGATTATACCTCCACGTTGTAGTCCATACTGAAGGAAGTCAGGTTAGGACTCAACAGCAGGAAACCTGGAGGCAGGAACTGATGCAGAGGCCATGGAGGAGTGTTGCTGACTGACTTGCTCTTCATGGCTTGTTCAGCCTGCTTTCTTAAAGAATCTGGACCACCAGTCCAGGGGTGGCACCACCTACAATGGGCTGGGCTCTCCCCATCAATCACCAATTCAGAAACCATCCTGCAGACTTACTTATAGCCTGGTCTTATGGAGGCTTTTTCTCACCTGAGGCTTTCTCCTCTCAATGACCACTTTGTTTCATTTTGACACAAACTAGCCAGCACATCCTCCATCTCAGGTTCCACTGTTAGTATTCTAAAAATGTCCCTTGTGTGATTTTAGTGTATGCTCTAGAAAGTGAAGCCTCTTTTCCATCCTTATCCTCCAGACTGCTGCAGTGGAAAAGCTGCTTCGTTTTCAGTGGCTGTCCATCGACCTGCCGTGATGCACACTCCTCTGCTTCAGAGGCCACCTTCCTGCCTGCTTAAGGCCGCTTCTGGCTTAGTCTGGCCTTTTCAGCCCTCAGTCTGAAGCGTTCCTCTTGTTACCTGTTGCATAGCTCCTTTGCTTATCCTTTGTACTAAAAATGTCAGTCTCTGTCTTGCTTATGTCCCTGTCTCTGCAGACACAGTACCTTTCTTCCTTTTGTATTTTTAACTATCCATAAACAGGGTGAGACAGCTTGAGTCCCTACTTTTTCATAGCCTGAGCCATTCTTAGACTTGAAAGGAAGTGTGTAAGCTGTATTGTGGATATGTAGCTAAAGGTCAAGACCTCCAGATACTAAGTCCCTTGCCCAAACCGACCCGGGTGGAGCTCCAGAAGTGTTCTCATGGCCTCCCGTGGCACTGCTCTGCCTCCAGCCCATCCACCATTCTGGTTTCTGAAAATTGGCCCCTAATGGATTTCTCCTGGTTAGCAGGTCTGGATTCCAGCATTCATCCACAATTGTGCCACACATGGTGGGACACATTTCTTCATCTGGAAAGTAAAAGTGATCTCGTCACCCGACTGACTTCCTTCCCTCAGATATCCTAACCTGGCTCTCTCTCCCATCTCCCTCAGTCTTTTCTTTTACAGTTCCTTACAGATTTTTAGATCCCCTCAGCTGTACTTAATCTTTAAAGCTAGGTTGATGGGAAAAATCTCAGAGCTTAAATTCTAGAATCCTTGTTGGAGTAAACCTTCCATTTTGGCTGATGACCCATATTTATTTAGGGATCCTTCAGTAATTCTCACTGAGGGACAGTGGTGGCAGGCATGTTAGATGCAGATTGTGCCACTTTGTGCTGGTAGCCTAGCAGCATGGTCCTTTTTTTCATGCACCAAATAGAACCTCTCTAATTTGTCCTAAGGAGGATGGGACCCATTGCAGAGAATGGTGTTAGGTGGATTAGCGAGTGAGCAGTGTCTATGGCAGGAGAGACATTGCATTGGTTTTTACACGGGCTCTGCAAGTGTTAGAATACCATGTACTATTGAAAATAACACCCAAACCAGAAGCTTTCTAAAGAGTGAAGTTAGGGTTCCCACTGAGTTTCCAGTAAATCAACACCCTAGGAACCATTGCCACATTCAGCACAAGCTGATCCATTCACAACTGGTCAAGTTAAGTGGCCAGCGTGGCTGGCTAACACAAGCTCCTCGGCCCCAGGTGACCGGAGGTTGCTTTGACAGTTGTAAGGGACTGGCAATGTGCCTGAACCCCACCCCAACCTGTGTTCAATCTCTGGCTGCGGGTGGTAGCATAATTGTTTTCTACTTTCCAAAAAAGCAGCAGCAACTCACAAGGAGAAGTTTGATTTTATTCAGGGCTTGTCCATGAGTACAAACCTATGCTTGACTCTGCACTTCCTCTGACCGCTGGAGGACTTAGGACCGCCAGGCTCCTCGATGGAGGAACTCTGCCCGCTCCAAGTCCCCCTGGTTTACTGTAATATTCAGGAGATGGTACCTGCCCAGTCGACTCTCCTGCTTCCTCATTCTGATGAAATATCTTATTATTTGGCAGTTTATATCGTGGAATCTCTGGCTGAGATTCAAACAGAAGTTGTTTCCTTGGTTCGTTTTATCTTTGGCTAGTCTCTCTCCTTCCACCTGCCCAGCTTCCCGTTTCATTACTGCCATCATCTCTGCCTTTTCCCCAGCTGGGAAATGTATTAACTGCCCAGCACATGGAGAGAGCCCCGTGAAAGAGGGTTGGGCGGGAGAGCCTGTAAGCTGGGCCTGGGTCTCTCCAAAGAAGCCT